AAAGAGAGAATATAGGCGAAGTTACAATCTGGTCCTGTGTCACAAACCATTTACAAAAAATTAGTTATTTTTGCCAACAACCAAGTCAAAAAATTTCTGCTAAAGGTTTGAGATGATGAAGATGTCCAAAATATGTTTCGAATTTATGAAAATTACAGGTTCAACAATATTTTAAAAAGAAGATTGTGTGAGAGCTATACACAAAACCAAGATCATGAACCATACCATCAAGTCATGCCATACACCCAAACATAAAACTAAGAGTATGACCCATACCACCAATTCATGCCTCGCACAAAACAAAAAACAAAGAGCATGGCACATACCACCAACAATTATATGTCGCCGCCACATCTCACCAAGCACCGATGAGGCATATGTTACCGCCACATTCTACCATAGCACCCAACTAATATACACCCAAACATCACACCATTAAAGCACTCAAACATCATATCGGCAAAGCACCACAAGAACCATTACTTCTTTCCCAAAACAAATTGATGTCCCAATTCAATAAATCAGTTCGCCCACGCTAATCCAACCAACACGACCCAACTACAACAACATGGCCACCGAACTCGAATACTGCAGCGTCGGCTATTAGGGAGATATGATCGACAATTTGTTAGATAACACTAATATCCCAGGAACCTCGCGTCAAACATCTTTGACTCAAGCGAATACTAAGAGATCTCAAACACCTTAGGAAAATCGTGGAAGGCATCGAAGGCGAGCAAATGCGCCTGGGTGTGGAACCTGATAGGTGTTACGATCGAGTGGGTCATTGAAATTCTCTTCAATCGTTGTGTAATTATATTTTATGAAATAATTAAGTTATTTAACTTTTTTCTATTTAACATTTTATTTATTATTATTTTGCTGTTAAAATAATTTTTAAAACATTAATCAAATACAACATAAGAGGCCAGACGGATGTCACATACTCATATTGCCAACATACATGCACCATTGCCATTGACATGACACTAAAGCATGCGCCACATGCATTGGCGCCTAGGACCAATTTAGAGTGCATGCGCCACAGGTAATGGCGCATCCTCTATGTGACGAAATTTTTTTATTTGAAAAGTGATTTTTTTGATAAATTATTTGAGATATTAGTTATTTGAATTTTTTTTTTTGAAAAATATGATTATTTTTAGAAAGTAAAATTATTATTTTACTTAAGAGCTTGTAATTCATTTCATCATATATTGCCTTTATTCATAATGTGGAAGACAACTTGCTTATAATGGAAAGTCTCATAAGTACTAGTCATGTTCTTAATATATTTGTAATCGTTAAGAGAAATTTTAGAATAAAAACAGATATTAGATAATAGATATAAAAGTTATGAAAGATTATTTTGAATAGCAGTATTGCACTTGAAGTCTTTCAAGGAAGGATTTATAGTTTAGATAAACCATCTAAGGGATTGTTTAATTAGGGAGTTAATGTTTTTTTTGTGAAAGCTTTAGTATCATTTTACAATTTAATTATTGTTTGATTGCGTGTTTTGTAATTTGGATTGTATTTCAATTCATTTGTGTGATTGTACTATTCATTTTAATTTGATTGTAACAGATTCGGCTATTAAATTGTACCAATGAGAACTCTATATATTTCATAATTATTTTCATTTAATCCTTGTTGGTATATCCTTTTGGACCTATGAAATAACTATTTTGTCATTTCTACATGAGTAGCTTGATTTACAAGTTAGAACATTTGAATTTGAATATTTTAGTATTTGATTTGAATCATGTGTTATATTTGAATAGAATCACTGGCCTCTTGAAAGTTAAAACTCACTTCTGGATCAAAAATTGAACATGATTCGAATCATAACCTCATTTGATTCGGATCAAGTAAAAATAATGATTTGAATCATGAGCTTTAAAAAGAACCCCTTTTGAGCATGTCCAGATTGATTTGAATCATAAATCCTTTTTGATTCAAATCAAGCTTCTTAAAACACTATTTTTCATCTCTTATTTAAATAGTTGTTTCTTTTGATGAATGTAACACGTGTTTGAAACCTATGGTTATCCGTAGAGATAAAAAAAATTGTTATTTTTGTCTTCTCTTCTTAGTGTGTTCATCTTTACACCATGTTTCTCTCTTCTTCTCCAAAAATCAATCTTTTGATATTAAAGGAGGCTAATGGTACATTAAGGTGTCTAATGTTTTTTGTGTGAAGTTAGTTATTGTATAACAGGTGCATGTATCGTTTCTTGGGTGTAGTTTGGTATTGAGTTGTTATTTATCAAGAGGAAAGTTTCCAATATACTTCAAGGAAGACTTTGACAAGATCAAGTATCAACGGTCTGTAAGGCAGAGTTGGAAGTTGTCATTCTTTGGTGGCGTTGGAGAAAGATTGCTTGCAAACAAAGTTGAGAGTTGTCCAATATACACTAAGTCAATGGCAATCGCTCAAGCAAAAAATCGATGAGATCAGGGGGATCGTCACACACGAATACTTGGAGCAAGTTATTGTGGATAACGAGGTTATTGAATCAAGATTTTGAGGGATCTTATTTTTGTTAGCAGTTTAGTGTCTGCATCATCAGAGGGAATTATCGTGTGATAGTTCTTTGTAATTAAAACGTTATGATCAATTTTATCAAAATAGTGGAAGACCGTGATTATGTTCCGATGGCATCATCTATTGAAGAGTGCACATTGACAAAGAGAGGACGAATGTTAAAGCACTATATATCTTTGTGTATCTTTCTTTTCCTATCTCTTTTATTTTTGCAAGCATTCTATATTTGATTGTATGTCATATAGGTTAGGTCGTGCTTATAGCGATTTAATGTATAAGTTTAGGTCTGCGGTATATCAATCTTATGGAATCATCATGAAATCAATTATGCATTTTAATAACATCTAAGTAATGCGTTTTTAAATCATTTCGTTTAAAGCGATTTTGGTTGTCTTGTAAGTGACTTGCACCAAAGCAATCAATCTCATTGTAACCTCACGCGATTTGATTCATTGAGATGCTTCCAAATTCTCGTATTTTTGTGTTGCTTCCACACTTTTTAAAATATCTTATTTCATCTATAGAACTTAAAAAGATTTTCAAATTGTCCTAAAAGAATAAGAATTTATTTAACCTTTTAGTATCCATATTCTCACCCAACAACTTCCATTATAATCTATCATCTATTATATATATATATATATATATATATATATATATATATATATATATATATATATATATATATATATATATATATATATATATATATATATATATATATATATATATATATATATATATATTAAAATGGACTTTTAATCAACTCTATCGACATCTCAACTAGGGGTGGTAAAATGGATGGATTGGATGGATATGAATTGGATTGTTAATGAATGGATTAAAACAATCCATTAGTCCATTAACAATCCACTAAAATTTTCTTTAAATTATCCAATCCAATTCATTCATTAAGAATAAAATCCATCCATTAACATATTTTTAATGGATGGATATCCATCCATCCAACTTTTTTTTTATTTCGTAAATATAAATATATTTTTTTATTTTATTTTTGAAAATTTTATTTTTTTTGTATTTTTAAAAAAAATTGATATTTTAATTTTTGAAATATATCGATTTTTTTTTCAAAAAAAAAAGTCGGTTTTTTTTTCGAGAAAAAATTTTATTTTATTTTTCAAAAAACAAATCAGTTTTTTATTCTGAAAAAAAAAACCCGATGTTTTTCGGAAAAAAATCGATTTTTTTTCCAAAAAAAAAGTCGGTTTTTTTTTCGAGAAAAAGTTTTATTTTTTTTTCGAAAAACAAATCAGTTTTTTGTTCTGAAAAAAAACCGATTTTTTTCGAAAAAAAATCGATATTTTTTCCAAAAAAAACGAGAAATTTGTTTTTTTTCGAAAAACAAATCAGTTTTTTATTCTGAAAAAAAAATCGATTTTTTTTCGAGAAAATTTTTTTTTCTTCAAAAAACAAATCAGTTTTTTATTCTGAAAAAAAACCGATTTTTTTCGAAAAGAGCAGATTTTTTTTTCAGAAAAAGAATTCATTTTTTTCGAAAAAAAAAATAGTTTTTGAATTATTTTTAAAAAAAATATATTTTTAAAAAAATAAATCTAACGAAAATAAAAATAATCAATTGGATCTTTAAAATATGTTGGATGGATTTAATCTAATCCATTAACTTATTTTTTTTTGGATGGATGGATTGGATAGATTTTGTCTTAATGAATTCAATTGCCACCTCTAATCTCAACATTAGTTTGTCACCTATAACCATTTCTGCCAAATCATTAATATTCATATATCTCACTCTATATTGCATTGCTATTGCTCTATAATTGATTTAATTGCCCAAACATCAAATGAATTATTCAAAGCGTTTGAATCATGTAGAAAATTTTAGTTGATATAAGGTAATGGATCTATCAGCAAAAATTGAGATCTCACTAGGAAAGATTCTTTTAATCCAATAAGAAAACGAATGGTGAAAATCAATTCATGTTGAATGTGAGCATTGCTCAAAAACATTTATGAGGACATTTGCAAACTAGAACGGGAAGATATGATTCAAGTTCTTCTCAAAATACATTTAAATAATAAAAACACTTAAAGAGATTAGGAATACTTGAGACTAAAGATTTTCATCTGCAATTCATTCCAAATTGTTTTGTAACTTGGATCAAAATTAGTTAGAACTATAATTGTTTCATCAAACCAATCAAATTTGTTTTTAGCACCACAAGAGTGATGCTAACTTACAATATATAAAATCAGTAAAGCATAACTAACTTTGGTATTGGCTAACAAACTCTAACTGTCTAACAAATTGAAATAAAGCTTCTAACTAACTCTTAATGTATGATCAAGTTCAGCCTAGTGAGATTTTTTATTTTCATAAACATGATATGATAAAACAACATTTATGATCATCTATGAGACATCCTTTTCCAAACAGAAGTTTTATTGAATTCCTAGACCATTCATTATCTTGTTAACCATACACGAGGCGACCACACCGATCACATGGACTAGGCCCAGCTAGAGGAACAGCGTCTTTTGGCTTCGTCTTCTTCAACAACGGTAGATCAATTTCCAGCGCATCAGCCAAGACCTTAGAACCTTGTTGAATCTCATCCTCGCTGCAAAGATCACTTCATGTCAAAACAAATCCTAGAACAACGTATTACAGACTTCGACTTAGACGTAGTTATAATTGTTTGCATCACTTTCTTACCTTATGCAGAGCGGGGGAGTGAAGCGAATGATTGTGTCGTGTGTTGACTTGGCAAGAACTCCTCTTTCTTTCAATTTTTCGCTTAGCTCAAAGCCTGTCACAGGAGACAAGCTTTCGCTGTTAAGCTCCACTCCAATAAACAAACCTCTTCCCCGCACCTCCTTTATGTGGTCCGGGTGTTTCTTTTGAATATTATGCAGCAGACCGAGAAGCTCGCCTCCCAGTTTGGTAGATCTGTCCGATAGCAAAGAAAGCAATTGCATAATTTAAAGATCAATATCTCAAAGTGAACAGTTCAAACTTCGAAGATATCGATTGGAGTCGGTATTAAAACAAGTATATATGTTGACAGTATAAGATTGTGCAATGGATATTGATACCTCTCGGTAAGTCTCTCTTCTTTGATCACTTCAAGTGCGGCAATGGCAACTGCACTAGCCAATGGATTTCCTCCAAAAGTACTGCGAACAAATTTCATTATGAGTATACCTTAAATAAAACGAGTGTTTAAAATGATTATAATGAAATTAAACCTTCCGTGCTGTCCAGGTTTAATACAAAGCATCACATCTTTGTCGGCAAGAACTGCACTAACTGGTAAAATTCCTCCACCTAATGCTTTCCCTAGAATCTGAATCAAAAAAAAGTTTAAAAAATTACTTGCTAGTCGCACCAAAAGGAAACATAACCTCAGAAAAGGGTTGCAAACACAGGACTATTAAAAGGATGCTCAATCAATTTGCAATGAGTCGCAACACATTTTGTTAACCGTGTCATGACAAGATGATGTTTTTAACGAAGTACTGTGAATGAATAAAGAGATATATAGACTTAACAACAAGTAAAGGTGGTTACTAACCACTACATCTGGACGAACATCTTCCCAGTCACAAGCCAGCATTTTCCCTGTTCTTCCTAATCCAGTTTGTATTTCATCGGCAATCATCAACACGTTGTATTTGGAGCAAAGATCTCTAACAGCTTTCAAATAGCCATCTGGGGGAATTACCACCTTCAACAGACAATAAAAAACCAGTTTGACAGATGAATTAGATGACATTATGAAAGAAAGCCGGTGGAAGATGGACTATCAAGAAGAAAGCAAAAACACCCAAACTGGATGAAAATGTAAATTCACTAGGACTGTATAAGTCACAGGGACATGTCACCATGCACATTCTCACAAGCAAACTATATACTGCATGAATGGATCAAAACATACAACGGAAGTAACACTGAAATTCACATGGTCGACGAATACATAAAAAACAAGTGACAAGTTTTCAAAACAAAACAAGTTCAACGTGTTTTATGCAGTAAATCATACAAAGGAGCAAATTGAGTGTTCCGGGCTAATCAAATACGTATTCTCGCAGAACATACCCCGGCTTCCCCTTGGATAGGTTCTAAAATAAATGCAGCTACGCGGTCTCCTTTTTCTGCAGTTCATCAGGGAGAAAATCCAATTAATAAATATCAAAAATATGTCATGCTAAGCAAAAGATACAGATAACAAAAGAAGCGACTGCATAGAACAATTCAGAACCTTTGAAAACTCGTTCAATGGCTTCTGCATCACCGAAATCAACTTTAAGATGGCCTGGCATTAAAGGACCAAAACCCCGGGTAGCTTCATTGTCACAACTCATAGATATGACACCCAATGTTCGACCATTGAAGCAGCCACAGCATGAGACAATAAGAGCCTGGAATGAGGTAACACTAAGCATAAAAAAATCACATGAAAAATCACATGTTTGCGGATAAGATATTTAAAAACAACAAATAACAAAGTGACTGAATCAATATCAGTGGTCCAAGATATTACAATTATTACTGGTACACATGATTCTCATAGTGATACCTCATTGTTGGGAATTTTTTTCTTTTCATAACCCCACTTTCTTGCTAACTTCAAAGCTGTTTCGACACCTTCAGCACCAGTATTCATGGGAAGTACCATATCATAACCAAACAAGGCTGTCAAATACTCAGCAAAGACCGGAAACCGATCATTATAGAACGCACGAGAGCTCACCGTGAGCCTATCCGCCTGATCGTGTAAGGCTTTCAGAATTTTAGGATGACAGTGTCCCTGAAACAAAATGAGTCATTTCAAATTACAATAATTCCCAATTTCATTAATTTCAGAACCATTACATATAAAAAAAATCACCAAGATCCATTCAAATTCTACCTGATTAACCGCAGAATATCCAGATAGAAAATCAATGTATTTATTTCCCTCTGGATCCCACACAGATGATCCCTTTGCATGAGCAAAAACAATGGGAAGTGGATGGTAACTGCAAATCAAACAGACAACATCACCTTAAACAATCGATTAAACTCATTAACAATCTATAGAAATGAAAAGAACAACAATTGGAGAGCCAGAAACAGGCGAGAAAAAGAAACGTACTTGTGAGCACTGTGTTGATGTTCTTTGTCGATGATTGTTTGTGAAGAGGAAGAAGCATTGGATTGTGTGGCGACAGCGAAAGTCCTAGTGCCTCTACAAACTCTTCGCATCAAACATTGAACTTGTCGTGTGGCAGCCATGGATGAGAGATTGAGATATTTCAATTGTATGAAATTGTTTCAAAATAACGTTGTCTTGTTCTTTGGTCTGACTGACATATATAAAAGTTGGCAGATATATATCAACACATAAATAATAAATTATGTTATCTGCTTTTTTTTAAGTGAATTTTTTATTCAGAAAACCATCTTTCCCATCTGTGAACGTTTATTTCCATAACACTCATATTTTTCTATCAATTCATGTTTTATCCCAAAAAAGAACAAAAAATCTATCCCATTGGCAAATGTTTCGACTAGTTCGAAGTAAGGGTGTTGATACTTCATCAACCACATATTTATGATGGAATTAGTTACTATTTATTGACACTTTAAAATTTACGCATTCAATTTATCATTATTATCCGTTTAAATTATTTTATAAATTATTAAAATTAAAATTAATTTTTTTTTATATTCAACATCTATAATTAATTGACAGTATAAAATTTTTTTATATTATTTGTATATTTCAATTAAATCTATTTATGATTCAATCTACATTTTATTAGTGCTCTCAATGATTAAAATAGTTTCAATTTAATTTAAAATTAATGTATATTTATAAACTAATTTATAATTAATTTGTAATTATAAATCAATTTTGTATATTAAGTTTTTTAAAAATTTTAATTTCATAAAAAAAAAGTTTTAAAATATATTTACGAAAAATTTATTTATAAAAAACTTATATATTTGGAAAAAAATTATATTTTTTATTTTTCGAAATAAAAAATATCTTTTTAGAAAATTTGTTATTTTTTTTTAGTTTTGGAATTTTTGTTATTTTGGGAAAGAAAAAAATATTTTCTAAAAAAAACTTAGTACAAATAATTTTTGTATTTTCAAAAAATATTTTTTATTATTTTTCGAAAATAAATTATATTTTTTAATGTTAAATATATTTGTGGTCCTCCTAAATATCTCAAATTTCGTTTTTAATTCAATGCAAATATTTTTTAAAAATTTTCGTCCACACTTTTTGTCAAATCTTCAACTTAGCGATGAGTTTTACAATTTAGCGATTAAATTAGCAAAAATTTTAATGATGATTTATTACTTAGCAATTAAATTAACGATAATTTTAGCAGCGATTTTAGTATTAGGGACCAAAAGTGTGGATGAAAAATTTTACGAGCGTCATTCTTTGAAAGATATATTTTGATAGATTAAAAACGAATTTGAGATATTTAGGAGTCCCACATATATATTTAACTCTGTTTTTTAATTTTTAGAGTAACTTTTTTTATTTTTAGAAAAATAATATATATATATATATATATATATATATATATATATATATATATATATATATATATATATATATATATATATATATAGGGTTGTGCTAACTAGTGTCCTCAGGGCACTAGTTAAGAATTTCAAATAAGGAAAATATGTTGTATTTAGTTCATTCAATACACAAAATATTCTTTAAAAAGTCTGATTATTTCTCTTTTCAGGGCATTGAATACACATATATTTAGAAAAAAAAATGTATTTTCAATCTCTTAAATAATGCCCAACTTACCATTTTAATCTCTTAACCAATGCCCTGAGGGCACTCGTTAGCATTATTTAAGAGATTGAAAATACATTTTTTTTCTAAATATATGTGTATTCAATGCCCTGAAAAGAGAAATAATCAAACTTTTTAAAGAATATTGTGTGTATTGAGTGAATTAAATATAACATATTTTTCTTATTTGGAATTCTTAACTAATGCCCTGAGGACACTGGTTAGCATGACCCTATATATATATATATATATATATATATATATATATATATATATATATATATATATATAAGACATTTTTTAAGGAAATGCTAACTTGTGCTCTCCTATTTTTTAATTTTTAGAATGATTTTTTTATTTATAGAAAAAAAATTATGTATATAGAAAAAAAAATTTTTACTATCTCTGTTTTTTTATATAATAGACAATTTACTTTTTAATTTTTTTAAAAAATTAATGTATCTAATCTATAAACTGACTAAATATATTAGTTATTTAATGAATCTAAAAATGAGTTATCTTTTATATAAAGGAACGAAGATAGTATTTTTCTGTATATTTTTTTAGGAAATGGTAATTTGTGCATTAGGACACAAGTTAAAAACTAAATTAAAAAATGTTATATTGAAAATTGTGCATTAATAGTAAATTAATTTTTTAATTATTTTCCAATACAAATTTGCAATGGATTTCTTAACTTGTGTCCATGAAGCACAAATTAGCATTACCCTATTTTTTTTAGTGAAAAAATTATTTTGTTTTTGAAAATAAGTATATTTTGTATATTTTCAGAAGAAAAAAATATTTTTAAAAGAAATTATGTTTTCTATTTTAAGGGAAAAAAGTTATTTAAAAGAAATTTTATTTTTAGAATTTATTTTTATTTTTCTAAAAAAATATATTTTTAGGAAAAATGTTTTTTCAAATTTTTTTATTTTTTATATTTATTGGAATAAAATTTTATTTATTATTTTCATTTTTTTGTTTTGAATATCAATTGTTTTCCTTCTTGTTCTTATAAGAAATTATTTTATATAACTAAATCAATTTATAATATGATTTTATTTTATATTTTTTTGAGTAGCTCAATTTTTTTATGGTGTAATACAATTCAATTTAGTAACCCACTTTTTCAAAAAATAAATCACAAAATAACCACTTTTTCAAAAAAATAAATCACAAAATAACCACTTTTCTTATTATTTCTTAAAGTACTCCAGGTTGAAAAAATATTAAGTGATGTCTCCATACCAATTGGCGACAGTGTTGTAGGCTTAAAAGGTGTCGCCAATTGGATCGAAAACACCATATGGTGTCTTCAATCCGATTGGAGATAATGTGTTAAATTTGAAAGTTGTCGCCAATTTATTTGGAGACAAGGAATAATCATAAAATTTTAAGCAAACATAATTAACATAAAATTCTAAGAAGTCTTGTGTATAGAGCGACGACACATTGTCGTAACTAAGTTTGCGACCCATGGCAGAGTAGTTGGGATCTGATGAAGGGGACATTGGTGTGCAACCTGGACGATTGAAGGAGGACATTGGTGTGAAAGATTCGTTGGTGAAAGGTTGAAATGGTAGTGGTGTTTGAAAGTCATAGGGTTGTTGTGATGTTTGTGTTTGTCGGTTATGGTGTGATGTTTGTGTGTGTCGGCTATGGTGTGATGTTTAAGCATTTTTAGCTATGGTACGATGTTTGGGCGTTTTGACTATAGTATGATGCTTTGGCGTTTTGACTATATCTTGATGTTGTGTTTTGGGCATATGTAGTTGTTATGTAATTGCTTTCAGGTATGTCTCTGTTAAACCAACGATTCAACTCTCTATGTAGTTGCTTGAATCTTTGGATGTTCCAAAAGAGCATCTCCATCAGAGACTTCTCTCTCGAATAAATCATTTTTCTGTAGCAGCGACGATACATGTTATCACTAATACAAGAATATGAGAAGAGATATGAAAATAATTTATCACGCCACCTCCATTTATAATAAAATTACACATTGCACCCTGTCTCCAAATGAATCAGGGATATCATTTTAATTTAACACACTGTCTCCAATTGGTTAGAGACTTCATATGGTGTCTCCAGTACAATTGGCGACACCTCTTTATCCTACAAAGCAGTCGCCAATTCATATAGAGACAACACTCTATGACTCCCCAGAAGTGGGGTACTTTAGGAAATAAATTGAAAAGTGGATTATTTTGGGATTTTTTTAAAAAGTGGGATATTTGGGTCAAAAATTCAATATAGTTTGGTTAATCATATTTTTGCACACCTCTCACTAGAAACACACTCCAATCTAATTGACTTGGCCATCTATCCGTAATATGGTGTGCCAATTAATTATAAGTGGCTTGAAAAAAAATTGTTTAACTATTATTTCTTCCATCTCACAATAGATGTCATATTTTCTATATTTATTTGTTTCAAATTATTTGACTCTTTAAAATATCAATGTGATATTTATTATTTGTTTCCACTAAATTACCCTTATTTATTGTATTAACTACTCCACTACCTATTATTAATAAGGTTATTTTAGTAAATGACATTCGTTTTATCATTGAAATCAATACAATTAATTATTATTTTAAAATATATAAAAATCTCAAAGTGGACATCTATTGTGAGACAGAGAGAGTAGTATTTTAATTTTTAATAATTAATTGATATAATATATTTATTACATTATTAATTAACAAAAAAAATTAAATACTAATGTTATAGAATTAAATTTGAATTATACATAATGAAGTGGTTTTTATGGTTACGATGCGCTTGATCTAAGTGGCCACCATTTTCACACCTCCGAGGTTTTATCCATAACATAGGTCTCGTTCAATTCTCCTAGGGTGTTTGATATTAAGTCCTCAAGGTTAGATCATTGAAAATCAATTCTTGTAATTCTTGATAGTTTTGCACATGTAAGTTGATGTTGTCGTAATTAAGTTCTTTGTCTATGTTTTCGTAGTTTGGTTGTGTTGTTTATGTTGATGTGGTCGCGGTTTAGTTGAAAAGTCGAGTCGGTTGAATGGTGACATTGGTGTGAATGATTCGTTGAGAGAAAAAGGAAATTGTTGTTGTGGTGTTTGGTAGTCTATGTTTGTTTCATTTGTTTGTTAAATGTTTTGATAAGTGATGATAGATTAGTGGGTGGTGTATCTTGGTGTTGATATTGAGGAAAAAATGTTGTAGTTGTTGTTGGTAGTACGTGGTATGCTCTTGGTTTTGTGGTTATGTATGTAGCAAGTATTGGTCATGGATTTTGTTGTTTGTGGGTGGGTAATTTTGTTGGGTTGGAAGTTGAGTGTAAGTGTGTTGTTGGTTTTGTTAGGGTTTTGGGTTGACTAAATATATGGGTTCAGACATAAACCCAAATGTAAATTGTCTACACCAATACATGTAATGAGTAGTTGGTTTTGATTCGGTTGGCATTACAAAGTCGGTTAGGAAA